AGAGTGGCCATGAGGGGGAGAAGGGGGCTTCAGATAGTGTGCAGAAGAGCTTTCTAAACTTTTAATGTTGGTGACCTTTGGGAGAGGATTATCAACAGAAGAACTTCCAGTAATGGTTCTATATCTGGACCCACAGCAATAATGTCATCCTCTGGGACCACTGCACACTTTCAGAGAGTGGCTGTTTCTGTGCATCAAGACACAGGAACATAACTAGATGTTCCTCTTTACCACCAGTGGTGGATTTGAGGAGCGGACGAGAAGGTGTGGTATAGTTCTACTTGTTCCTCCCTGACCTAGGATCTTGTCCACTGTACTGCTGTATTTGTGTTGCAAGAAAAGGTGCGTGTGAGACAGAAACAGCACCTGTTAATTCGTGCCTCTTGTAGCAACTAGTTGTGTCTTAATTGGCTTGGCCTATTTATAGCTTAGGCGCTACTATCCTATCAAGAGTGCCCTGTTTACGAAGAGGGGCGCCAAGTAGAAAGGTGAGGCAGGGGCAGAGACCAGAGGAGGGTACTACTCTTGTCAAGCAGGAATTTCTGGGACATGAAACACAACCTGAAAACCTGGCAGGAACCAGACCACCTGGCATGCAAGACCAATAAATCAGGATTAAGAAGCAGAAATGATATGAGAGAGGTAGCTGCTGAAATGAGGGTGGCTACCTTTTATTATCCTAAAAATTTGGGCTCCGTAGAAAATGATTTAACTGTAATTCATAAAAAGGAAAATCAGTTTGTTTAGCAAATCTTGCGAATGCTGTGGTATATAAATGGACCCCGTATTCCCATAGGCAGGTGTGAAATTATTCCATCTTAGAATCATAGAATCATAGAGTTCGAAGAGACCGTGTGGGCCATCCATCCAATCCAACCCCCTGCCAAGAAGCAGGAAAATCGCATTCACAGCACCCCCGACAGATGGCCATCCTGCACGAAACCTCCAAAGAAGGAGCCTCCACCACACTATGGGGCAGAGAGTTCCAATGCTAAACAGCTCTCACAGTCAGGAAGTTCTTCCTAATGTTCAGATGGAATCTCCTTTCTTGTAGTTTGAAGCCACTGTTCCACGTCCTAGTCTCCAGGGCAACAGAAAACAAGCTTGCTCCCTCCTCCCTATGACTTCCTGTCTCACACATATTGATCCATAGCCCTCATCATGTCTTCTCTTGGCCTTCTCTTCTTCAAGCTAAACATGTCCAGCTCTTTAAGCCGCTCCTCATAGGGCTTGTTCTCCAGATCCTTGACCATTTTAGTTGCCCCCTCTGAACACATTCCAGCTTATCATCATCTCCCTTCAATTACGATGCCCAGAATTGGACACAGTATTCCAGGTATGGTCTAACCAAGGCAGAATAGAGGGGAAGCATGACTTCCCTAGATCTAGACACTATACTCTTATTGATGCAGGCCAAAATCCCATTGGCTTTTTTGCTGCCGTATCACATTATTGGTTCATGTTTAACTTGTTGTCCACGAGGACTCCAATAACTTTTTCACAAGTACTGCTCTCGAGCCAGGCATCGTCCCCCATTCTGTATCTTTGCTTTTCATTTTTTCTGCCTAAATGGTGTATCTTGCATTTGTCACTGTTGAAATTCATTTTGTTAGTTTTGGCCTCTCTCTCTAACCTGTTAAGATTGTTTTGAATTCTGCTTCTGTCTTCTGGGGTATTGGCTCTCTCTCCCAATTTGGTGTCAACTGCAAACATGTCTTCTAACCCACGGAATGACTTCCAACAAACCTCAGGAGATGATATAATCACTTTGTATCTGGCTATTGAAATTCATAGGCTGATGGTTGTCATTCTCCTTCTGCTTTCCACTAGATGAGGAATATGGTGCATGTTTGTTGTTACCTGTTGTCTAATCAGCTTTGACGTATGGCAACTCAATGAATTAGAGACCAGCAAATCACCCTATATCAGACTCAAGGATATGACTAACCTGGGATAAGTCATGTGTACAGAAGGCATTCTTTCTTCACTAATGTTGAGATTAAATCTAAATACCAATCCAGCTAGTTTCTATACGTGGAATAAGGAAGACGCATCCTCTTATCTATTGCTTCTGGCAGAAAAATGTCATCGACAGTCCTTTAAGCACATTTGCTGAGAAACGGGCCTTAATGAGTGCAGTGGAGCTTATTCTCTTTAAAGCATACAGAAGATAGCAGTCGATGGTATGTTAAATCAGAAGATTTATAGTCGTCTCTTCAAAGAAATCTGATCTGTTGGATCAATTTCAGTCAAAAGACAACACAGTATCTGAAAATGTTCTCCAGTCCTTTGCTGTTCCAACATTCTTTGATATTTTTCTTTTGCTCCTTTTTTTTTGTGTGTGCAGAACCCTGGAGCTTGTTTTTATTGAATTCCTGGCTTATAGTTCTTATCTGACCAGGGCTCTGATCCCTGCCTTACATAAATATAAGAGTGTTGTGACATTCTGAACATATTTGTGGAGACTGCTGGTCTCACATGCAAAGGTGAAAGAAGTGGCAGCAACAGAGGAAGATTGTTTAGGTATACCAGCTGAATTTCCATATCCAGAAACCCAAAATGTTCCAAATCTGAAATGGTTGTCATGGGTGGCTGTGATCGTGGCACCTTTATTTTCCGATGATTCAATGTACACAAACTTTGTTCCATGCACAAAATGATTAAAACATACCTTGCATAAAATTACCGTTCAGGATTCTCTCTTCATCATGGTGCTACTTCTGGCTTGTTTTGAATGCCGAGGTAGGAAAATAGCTCTTTGGTGCTTTCCTTCAAGGAAAAGAGCAAAGAGAGTTGGCACTCTTTTTAGCTTGTTCTGTGAAGGACTCAGCTCTTGCCTTTTGCCTCTCTATTCAGAAAGGGGTGGTTCCTTTTTTGATCCAACCCAAGTTTTGGGGGTTGATTGTTTGAATAAAATTTGTACACTTATGTCTAAGTATATACAGTAGTCATTCTGCACCTTGCTATTGGGAAATAGCTAGAAGCTTCTCGGATTCCCCCACTCTCCACCAGCCATTAAATGGCTGTAAAGAGGTGACTAATGCAGCAAAATGATCACTGCTTCGGAGCCATGCTTATTGAGAAGCAAGAGAAAATCAACCTCTGCAATGACCAAAAAAGACATACACAATGTAGGCTGGATTTATGCTTATATAGGTTGCTGTGAGTTTTCCAGGCTCTTGGGCCATGTTCCAGAAGCATTCCCTCCTGTTGTTTTGCCCAGATTTATGGCAGGCATCTTCACAGGACTTCACAACCTAGGAGGATGCCTGCCATAGATGTGGGTGAAACGTCAGGAGAGAATGCTTCTGGAACATGGCCGTAGTCTGGAAACTCACAGCAACCCAGTGATTCCAGCCATAAAAGCCTTTGACAACACATATGCTTATATACAGGATACCGGCCACAGTGTCGGGTAGCATCTAATGTACAGCCACCCCTCCCCATTTGTAGTTTTGACTTTTGCAGATTTGATTAAAAACGTTCTCCTGAGGAATCTCTAGGTCCTCTAGTGTGACTTGATGGTCAACTTCCTCCAAGTCATGCTGGAGGACAATGCATTTTCTAGAGAGATTCTCTAGTTCCTCCAACGTAATTTGATGTTCCACTTCCAGCAGAAGTTGATCACAGAATTATGCTGGTGGATCTAGACATTCCTAGAGACATGTCCTCTCAGGTAAAAAAATAGCAATCCCTTTATTTGTAGAATTTACTTTCCTGTGGCCCCAACTGCAGCAGATGTGCAGGGCTGATTAAATGCAAATGGGACTGGAGTTATCCGGATTTTAATTCTCACCAGACCATGAAATACCTTGGATACCTTTGGGTGATCACTCTTGTCCAACCTGAGTTACCTGACTTGAAAACACTCAACAACAACAAATGATAAAGTACAGAAGAGGAGAAAACTAGACTTGCACCTTGAGATCAGTGGAGGAAAGGAGGAACAGAAATGTAACTCATGGTGCAGTGCAGTGGTTCCCAACCTTTTTTGACCAAGGACCACTTTGACCAGAGATCACTCTCCAACATTAGTACCAAAAGGGTTACAAATCAGTTTTTGGTCAACTTTACATTCACTTTGATTATTTGGGGTGCTGATTCAGAAAACTGCATAAGACAGACCGCATCAGCTCTAGTTTCTGATACAGAACATACGCCATCCATTAGTCGCCATCTGCTCGCCCACAGAAAACCATATTTAATAATCTAGAGCTGATGTGGTCTATCCAATGCAATTTTCTGAATCAGGACCCCAAATAACCCCAGGAACAGGTCTAAAAAAGGAGACACAAAGAAATTTTGATTCAGCTATATTATTATTTGTGGTAGGCACTAATGATGAGGCCGCAGACCATATTTTAGTTCTTGCAGACCACTGGTGGTCCACGGACCACAGGCTGGGAACCATTGGTGTAGTGACTTGAACATTGCACTACGACCAGGGTTCGCATCTCCACTCAGCCATAAAATCCATTGGAGACCATGGTCAAATCACTTGGCCTTAGGGGAAGGCAATGGGATAGAATCATAGAGGTGGAAGAGACCCCCAAGGGCCATCCAGACCAACCCCATTCTGCCATAAAGGAACACCCAATCAAAGCATTCCTGACAGATGGCCATCCAGCCTCTGCTTCAAAGCCTCCAAAGGAGGATCCATCACACTCCAAAGCAGCATATCCCACTGTCAAGATGTTCATCTTAATGTTTAGGCACAATCTTTATTTTTCCTTCAGTTTGAATCCATTGCTCTGTCTGAAGTCTCCAGAGCAGCAGGAAACAAGTTTGCTCCCTCCTTAATGTGACATCCTTTCAGATATTTAAACATGTCCCCTCTCAGCTTTCTTTTTTCCAACCTAAACATACCTAGTTCCCTAAGTGGTTCCTCTTCTAGAAAAATCTTGCCAAGAAAACCTTGTGATAGGGTCGCCATAGGTCAAATGCGACTTGAAGGCACACAACCACAGCAAATGATAATAAAGTGAGACCAGAAACCGGAGTGACATTCTCTTATAGATACTTATTTATTCTTTTGGCACAAACAGACTGCATCACATTCAACAGTAGGTCCATCCAACCAGCGGTCTAGGCAGATCCTTCCCTTTTCTGCCATGCCACAGAAGGAGACAGACACAATATCAAGTACAATTTGTGCTACTGCAAGGAGACTCAGGCTGAAAATCTGCCTTTTTAACCCATTCCTGAAGATGCTGTTCTCCCTCTCCAGCACCATCCCACAATACAAGACCAAATTCTTGTAAAGTTTTAAACTTAAACTTTTTTTTGGTTGCTGTGAGGTTTCCAAGCTGTGTGGCCATGTTCCAGAAGCATTCTCTCCTGATGTTTCACCCCTATCTATGGCAGGCATCCTCAGAAGTTGTGAGGTCTGTTGGAAACTAGGCAAGTGGGGTTTATATATATGTGGAATGTCCAGGGTGGGATAAATAATTCTTGTCTGTTTGAGGCAAGTGTGAATGTTGCAATTAGCCAGCTTGATTAGAATTGAATAGCCTTGCAGCTTCAAAGCCTGGCTGGCTGCTTCCTGCCTGAGGGAATCCTTTGTTGGGAGGTGTTAGCTGGCCCTGGTTGTTTCCTGTTTCCTGTTCAACAGACCTCACAACCTCTGGGGATGCCTGCCATAGATGCAGGCGAAACGTCAGGAGAGAATGCTTCAGGAACATGGCTATACAGCCTGGAAAACTCACAGCAACGCAGTGATCCCAACCATGAAAGCCTTCGACAACACATTAGACTCTTTTTTTGTGTAAAAAAAACAACATAACACAAGGAGGGGGAGCAAGATGGCATATAGATTACACAGATGGAAGACAGAAAGAAGACAGAAGGCTGTGGAGAGCTTTCACACCTTTCCCCATTGTAGTATCTCAAAATATATATAACGTGCTTGTGTGTGTGTGTTTTCATCCAATGGGAAGGATCTCTCTCTTGGATAACGGAGGAAACTGACAACAAGGATCACTTTTTCTACTGCAACCGTCAAGGCTAGAAATATGTTTCCGGTTTTAGGAAAGACTAACGGAAAATGAAGCATCTGAGCAAACATATTACCATTTGGACTATAGAAATTGAACTAGAAACCTCAACTCTGTTATTCACAGTGTAAACAACAGCTGCACGAGACGGTGCTTAGGAAAGTGCCCCTTTTGGACTGCAACTCCCAGAAATCCCTCAGTTGGGGATTCTGGAATTCACAATCCCAAAGGGCAACTGTATGTACAAATTCATTACAAGATGCTTTCTTATCGCGATTCAAGTCCAAGTCCAATAGACGTTCTTGCCTGGTGCTAGCTCTACAGAAAGTTTTTTTTTCCGGCCCTGCTGTACAAAAATATATTTCTTTAATAGGGATGGAACGTGCTGCATGCAAAGCACATATTCTACCAGAGAACTACTGAGCATCCCATATTTCCTTGCAGGACTGCTGCTGAGTTCAGTAAAGTAGCCGTTCCTGTCAACTCTTGCTCTGCCCCTTCCTGGATGTATCTTCAAGAGCATCTTTCTTTGGGATGCTGTGGGTAATCACAAACAACAAACACCAGTTGGGCCTGTTTGGGTTGCAGGCTTGATTGTCTCAGTTGTGAAGAATGCTTATGCCCTCTCTCATCTTGTCTCTTGTGTTTTGGAGAACTTTCCTTTTTTTTTTTACTAAAACTCCCAGAATCCCCTTGGCAGCAGTGGCCACGCTGATGGGAGATTTTGGGAGTTGTCATCCCCCCAAAAAGGACCATTCCAAACTCAGGTCTTCACATCGCATCTGTGCAGTCCATGCTTCAAGTGGAAGAGACTTCATCAGTATTCCTATTGCTAAACCCCCAACTAGGCATTGTCTTTATTAGGAGAAACCAAAACACAGCTTTTGACTGCTTTAGACTTGATCAGGTACCAGATAATTGGGCCTGGAGAAGCAAACAAAGAAAGAAAAACCAAAATAAGCCGGAAATTTTGACCATAATTAAATGCAATCCCAAGATAGTGAGTCTAGACTAGCGTTTCTCAACTTGGGGGTTGGGACCCCTGGAGGAGTGGTCCCAAGGGGATTTCAGAGGGGTTTCCAAAGACCATCAGGGAACACATATTTCTGATGGTCTTAGGAATCCCTTTGGCAGAGAAGGCTGAAGATCTCTCTGCCTGTCCTCCTCTTCCTTTTTGGAAACAGACAGGCAAATCCTCCCACAAAAAGCCCTCCTCCTGCTGTGATTGGCTGGGCTCTCAGCCAAGGGGAGGGCTGTTTCTGAGACTCCAAACAGGGAGGGGAGAGCAGGCGTGCTTGGTGCCTGGCGGCATGGTGCGCATGTGCAGGTGAAGGCGAGTGTGCGAGGCTGGAGGGAGGCTTGCACCAGTGAGTCCCTTCAAGGCATGGGGGTTCTGTGTGGGAAACTTGGCCCAATTCTCTCATTGGTGAGGTTCAGAATGCTCTTTGATTGTAGGTGAACTATAAATCCCAGCAACTACAACTACCCAAATGTCAAGGTCTATTTTCCCGAAACTCCACCAGTGTTCACATTTGAGCATAATGAGCAATCATTGTTTGAGTCCACAGTGAGTCCTAGATATAGGTGAACTACAACTACAACTCCTAAACTCAAGGTCAATGCCCACCAAACTCTTCCAGTATTTTCTGTTGGTCATGGGAGTTCTGTGTGCCAAGTTTGTAGGTGAATTATAAACCCCAGGAACTACAAATCCCAAATGACAAAATCAATCCCCTCCCCACCCCACCAGTATTTGAATTTGGGTATATTGGGTATTTCTGCCAAATTTGGTCCAGTTAATAAAAATATATCTTGCCTATCAAATATTCACATTATGATTCATAACAGTAGTAAAATTACATTTATGAAGTAGCAACAAAAATAATTTTATGTTTGCGAGTCACCAAAACATGAGGAACTGTATTAAGGGGTCGTGGCATTAGGAAGGTTGAGAAACACTGGTCTAGACTGAAAGAAGCACTGGTGCATATGAAGGTATCTGGTTACACCTAATAGTTCATTCTGGGATAGAAAAACTGGAAACACAGCTCAGGAGATCTCTCTATTGCTGGCACTACAGAACTTGAGAGAAGCTGGCAACTGGGTACTGCCAGGTATGTAGATGGACATGGTGCAGATGGCTGGTATTAGTCACTAATGTGGCTGACACTACAGGAAGGACCCAGAACCATATTTAGGACCATTATGTGAATGACTGGTGCTAGGCATGGTTGGGGAGCAGAGGTCCCATGGCTTTTCAAAAGGAAATTGGATTCTCCCTGGCCCATGCTCTTGGAAACAAACCAGCTCCATGGCTGTCATTCCACTCCTTCTCCTTCGGTGGCAAGCAGGCTGTCGTCGCCAAGGGGGCATAGGTTGGCGAAAGCCGCTGCCCAGACTCACAATTCAATGGTTTCACTTGAGAGGCTACGGGAATCCACCTGCTTGCTCAAGGCCAAAAAGCTCCTCCGGGCCTCCCGTTCGGAGTTGGGGGCACTGTCAGATGGAGCAGGGGGGACGTCATCTGGCAGCAGCTGGGCCTGGCTGGGGAGCTCTTCAGGGGGCAGGCTCTCAGGTGAGGACATGCCGTGGCGCCAGGGGTTCCAACTGATTTTGAGAGAGGCACGGGAAAAGGAGGTGCGGGAGAAGCTGTCGAAGGAAGTGTCTGTCGGCGGCTCGCTGACCAGGCCCCGGCTGTGCGTGGTGAGCTCCCCCATTGAGCTGGCTCGGGCTAAACTATATAGGCAGTCTGGGTCACTGCTGCGGCGTGGCCGGGCAAGCAGAGGCTGTGCAGTGTGGGACGTTGAACAGTCACCGCGTAGCGAAGAGCAAGAGTCTTGGCGTGCCAAGCGGGAGGGGAAATGGAGACTTGACCGCAGGAAGATGGAGTCACGAACCAAATGCTCACGGAAAAGTGCTTCGTCAATGCTACGGCTGAGGTTGATGGGAGAGGGAGGCCGGAATTCAAGTTCTGCCAAGGAAAGAATGGAATCCCTCTCAAAGCAGATGCTGGTGTAGGAGCGGCCCATGGTAGCGGCAGCAGCATTGGGGCATTTGGGGCTGTAGACGGGGTGCACCGGGGATGGGCTGGAACCCTGCCTAGTGGCAGCCCGTAACTCATTGCTGTCCTTGAGTGCCCACACGCGCCCGCTGCTGGGGGGATTTCGGATCAGGTTCTTGCTGATGTCATTGTTGGGCACTTTCTCCAGGACACCGCCAGTCCAGTCGTAACAATTGTTAGGATACTCTGGCACCTCAGCCTTGTGGTAGGTACAGAAGTAGCGCATGAGCTTGGCCCAGCAGGAGTGTTCGGTAGATCCGTAACGCTGACAAAGAGCCTGCCAGGCTAGGAAAACTAGGGCAAACGAGAGCACCAACTCCCCAATCCGGAACCAGAACTGCACAAACCACCAGCCCCAGGAGAAAAGGTCCAGCTGGCCCAAGAGCTCTGCCTGCCACAGCACACCATAGAATTGTAGTCCACAGCATGGCAGCGCCAGCCCACTGCATGCCAGCAGAACCCATGCCGCACTCCATACGCCTGGTTGAGGAGTGCCCTCGACTGCCACGGTGTGCTGTAGCTGCCGGTACACAAACACAGTGGCTGGCAGGAGGCAGATGCCAGCTATGCAGGAAAGTGTGTGCAGTCCTACTGGCACAGCCGCGTGCAGAGGAGGTGAAAATAAGTCGGCCGCCAAGAGAACAGCACTCTGGATGAGCCCCATGACAACCAACACAGGCAGGCTTTGCCACTTTGGGGGCAAGATCTCTAAGTGGGCCTGGCAGAAGAAGCGCAGCAGAAGCACAGCGAAGGTGGTCAGCAGCAGGGGGAAAGGTGCCGTGTACAGGACTCGCACTGCCCGAATGGGAAGCCAACCACGGGAGCCATAAGGATCGCCCAGAAAAAACGTGGCACGCAACAGCCCAAACAATAACAGCAGAGTGCTGGCCGCTAGGACGTATCGGAGGTGGGGCACCCGTAAAGCAAGGGAACCTCCCAGACAGGCCAAGCTCAGCAAGCTAAGCAGGAGGAATAGTGCTCCAGAGCCATAGACATGCAGCACCCAGGCAAAGCTCAATGTGCGCTCAAGATCTCCCCAGTGTAGCAGGGTCTGGTTGGGCAACAGCTGGCTGCAGGCACCACCTTGGCGTGGGCAGGGGGGGTTCGAGATAGGCAGCAGGGTTGGCATGCTTGGCTCCGGCCTGCTTAGCTGTGGGTGTTGCAGGACCCGCTGGGTGGTTACTCGGATGACGCCACGGCGGGGAGTAGCCTGGATTCGAGCAGATTTGGTGGTGTTTTTCACAGGAGGGTGAGTTTCGGCTGCATCTGAAAAACACAAATGACATGATCAGGACAAAATAAGAACACAAAGGTATCCATGTTGTTTATTTTTCATTAAATATCGGGAGAAATGTGATACCATTCTGCCTTGGTCAGACCACACCTGGAATATTGTGTCCAATTCTGGGCATCGCAATTTAAGGGAGATGTGGACAAGCTGGAATGTGTCCAGAGAAGGACGACTAAAATGATCAAGGGTCCACATGGGTGTTCTGTGTGGGAGGTTTGGGCCAATTCAATTCTCAAATGCCAAGGTCAATTTTCCCCAAACTCCACCAGTATTCACATATTGGCATATTGAGTATTCATGTCAAATTTGGTCTTTATCCATCATTGTTTGAGTCCACTGTGCTCTCTGTGGGCGTAGGTGAACTACAACTCCCAAACTCAAGGTCAATGCCCACCAAACCCTTCCAGTATTTTCTGTTGGTCACGGGAGAACTCTGTGCCAAGTTTGGTTCAATTCCATTGTTGGTGGGGTTTAGAATGTTCTTTCATTGTAGGTAAACTATAAATCCCAGCAACTACAACTCCCAAATGACAAAATCATTTTTTTTAGTGAAGGACATACATTGGGTTGTTAGGTGTCTTGTGTCCAAATTTGATGTCAGTTTCGTCCAGTGGTTTTTAAGTTCTGTTAATCCCACAAACGAACATTACATTTTTATTTATATAGATATCTATATATAGAAAATCACAATCTTCTTCAAGCCTTCTCTAGTAATTTGTTTAACTATAATCCTGTTGCTTACTTATTGTATGCATGCTTTGGTATGCAGCTTTCTTTCCTTGCTCTATGTTTTTCCCCAATAAGTTGTGGGAGGAGCTGCACACCACATGATCAGCACTGAGACAAGCACACAGCACAAACTTGTTTAGACTTTGGAACTGCTCAGATTGCAGACTTACAAACACTTGTCTGCTGTTATTGTAAGAGAGATGTTCTGACCAGATGGCACATAAACTATCTCAACATTTATGCAAATGACTGATAAAGTTGTGTTCTTGTGTATGCTGACCACATGAAGGTTGTGAGTAAACGAAATATGTTACTGTATACCAAAGTCTACTTATTTTGTCTCTTGGCAGGGAGTGCATAATATAAAACAAATTATTTTATGGAAGAGTACGGTAGATGTATTTTTGGGCATTAAAAACACTTCTGAATAACTGCTATTTTTAACACACTGGCATATTCTCTGTTTCTAACATATCAGAGACAAGTTATTCAATCTAACAACTGAAGCCAATTGCCTTGCATTTGGTTGTATACCACTTGTGAAGATTGTACTCAAACGGGTTTTCGACTCTTCTCGAAAATCCAAACCACATGAAGGTAGAGGCATACGCTCTCAATAAATTTGAGATCTCAGTATAGTCCTAGCTCTCAATTTTTTTTCAAGTGTTCAGAGTGGCTTTTCAACTCTTGCACAACTCCTTTGTTCTCCCCAGAAAGAATAATAAAAGTTGATTAAATGAGGGAAAGGAAGCCAAAATATGCTACTCCGCAGAATATACACAGAATCAAAGAATTCAATTTGGGACAGTTATATCCCTGTAGCCACAAATAAAAACAACAACAACAACAAATACTGGAATACTGTGTCCAATTCCGGGCACCACAATTGAAGGGAGATGACAAGCTGGAATATGTCCAAAGGAGGACGACTAAAATGATCAAGGGTCTGGAGAACAAGCCCTATAAGGAGCGGCTTGAAGATCTGGGCATGTTTAGCCTTCAGAAAAGAAGGTTGAGAGGAGACATGATGAAGGCCATGTATAAATATGTGAGGGGATGTCATAGGGAGGAGGGAGCAAGATTGTTTTCTGCTGCCCTGGAGACCAGGATGCAGAACAACGGCTTCAAACTACAAGAAAGAAGATTCCACCTGAATATTAGGAAGAACTTCCTGACTGTGAGAGCTGTTCAGCAGTGGAACTCTCTGCCCCGGAATGTGATGGAGGCTCCTTCTTTGGAGGCTTTTAATCAGAGGCTGGATGGCCATCTCTCGGGGGTGGTTTAATTGCAATTTTCCTGCTTCTTGGCAGGGGATTGGATTGGATGGCACATGAGGTCTCTTCCAACTCTTTGATTCTATGAAATCTTTATTTGTACCCTGCCACCATTTCCCCAAAGGGACTTGGGGCAGCTCACAAAAGCACTCCAAATACTACATACAGACAACAATACATAAGCACAAAAACAATGGCACAAGTACAATCAACAACACATAAAAATCTCATCTATAAAATCACAAAATTTGAAAACCATAAAATTCCTAAAAAGCAGTGGAACCTGCAGGCCGGCTATCTATCATAACAATCAAAGTGCGGGCCAGTACCATCAATGATTCATCACATTGGCCATGGATTGCTGAAGATCAAAGGCCTGTCTGAAGAGCCATATTTTCAGACTCACCCAGAAAGCCTGAAGAGAGGGGGCTAATCTAATTTCTTTAGGGAGGGCATCCCAGAGCCAGGGAGCCACCACCGAAAAGGCCCTCTCTCTCATCACTACCAACTGTGCTTGAGATGGTAGTGGGACCAAAAGAAGGGCCTCCCCAGCAGATAATGCCCTTGCCAGTTTGTAGAAGGGGATGTTCACATGCATGTGCACCTGCACCTTTTGCCACCTTGTAATAGTCGCCCCCTTTAAAAACAAACAATGGGGGAAATTGCGACTATTATGTGGTGAAATTCAGCATTTGCTTAATTTATCCACTGCAGTAAAATCACAGTTCTCTAATGGCATATAGTTTGGCAATACTGATCTTCCCACATCCCTTTCCCATTCCACTTGATGGCAACTCTCCCAAGGGGAGAGAGAAAGAGCGTAAAAGAGATATTCAATTCCTAGACTTAGTGCCTGAGATGCTTCCATGATGCCAGGGAGAGAAGCTGCAAGCTTTCTGCATGCAAAGCAGCGTGTGCTCTCTTACTGAGTCATCCAGGCATGAAGGGAGGAGATTGAGAATGGCTGCAGCAGCATGACATGAATATTTCTCTCCTCCCCACCCACTTCTCCCGAACTCGAGGTGACAGCAGCCAAATTAAGGAACAGCTTCTGCCGCCATCTGCTCTGGGGTCTGCCAAACAGCAGGTGCCTGACCCAGTGCCATTTATTTGCCTCCTCCCCTTCCACTTGCCCCACCACCTGGTAATCGTCAGCAGGATGGCTGCAGCAGGAATGCTAAAATCATACGCTTTTCACATATAAACTACTATAAGAATGACACACAACGTGTGCATGCATCACAGTCTTCATGTAGCCAAAATGGTAGCACAAAAGGGAGGTGTCTGCAGATTGTGAGGACCTATGGAGGTACAGAGTTAGACAGGAAGAGTACAATATGACCCCCATATCCACAGGGGATACATTCCTAGACTCCCCATGGAGATGTGAAAATGTGGATGATAGTGAAGCCTTTCAAAATAAAGGATTTCTGGCTCAAGAATGCCATTGAATTGTGCCAGAGGACCTAGAAAATGCTTGCAATGGACATATTTTGTCTTACATAAATGAAACTGTACATACAAGTGTTGGGCAAGTGGGCTTATTAACAAAAGACCCTTCTCATAAATGTATAGCAGAGTAACTTAATAGCACCGTGACCTAGCACTAGTAGCCCAAAGTAATAAAAAGAACAAAAATGCACAGACGAATAGTCCAGTGCATGGCAGCCAGGTTGCACACCAGAGCAGCTTACAGGGAGCACACAATCTCTTGTTATGTCAGCTCCACTGGGTGCCAGTCCGCTACTGAGCACAATTCAAAGTGCTGGCTTTAGCCTATAAAGCCCTAAACGGTTTCAGCCAAGTCTACCTGTCCAAATGTATCTCCTCCTACGAACCAGCTCAAACACTAAGCTGATCGGGGAGATCCTGCTCTCGGTCCCACCTTCTTTGCAAGTGCGGCTGGTGAGGATGAGAGACACGGCCTTCTCAGTGGTGGCCCCTTGTTTATGGAACTCCTTCCCTAGTAATATCAGATCACCCCGCTCCCTCCTAGCCTTCAGAAGAAGAGTAAAAGCCTGGCTCTGGGAGCAGGCTTTTGAAAAATAGGGTAGTGCAGCAATTTTCAATATGGAATATGTGCAATTGATCTCAGAATGGCCTTAGACTCTGATCCCTGGATGGCGTGTTTTTAACCTTGAATGTTAATCACATTATTATGTTAGTAATTTTAATCTAAATCATTTTAAGTGAATTTTGTATGTTTTGAGGCACTGTGTAAGCTGCCTTGAGTTCCCCTTGGGGAAGTGATAAGATGGGATATAAATAAGGCAAATAAATAAATAAATAAATATCTTCTCCATAGGAGGCTTTTCTTTGTAGTAAAATAATATGGTTGCACTATTTACGAGAACAAGGCTTCCAAAACACAAATAAAGTTCATTATACTTCCTTCTTTACTTCCACGTTGGGCTTCTTTCTCACGCAGATAAACAGCTTGGCTCTCACAGAGCTTCTTCTCACACTGAACTTACACAGGATCTTCACACAGTAGCTTTACACACGAGGCCTTCAACTTGGGGCTTCTTTTGCCGAAGGTTCTCACACCAGACCTTCTCACACTCGGCCTTCTCATAGACTAAGGCCTACCTCACACTGAGGCCTTCTCACAGACTGAGACCTTTCTCCCACTGAGGTTTACCTCAGACTGACGGCTACACCTGCTTAAATGGAACTGAAGCTTTTGCTGAGTCATTGCATCCATTCAACCCTTTCAGAGCGTGACTAACATTTTTGTAATTAAAAATAGTTAATTTTTAATATTTCTGACAAGTACCACGGAGAGGGGTTATTGTACTCTGGATTATTTTTCTTAGCACTGAAGTCAAAAAGTAGCTCTCCCATTGTCTGTAGAAATCTACCCCCCCCCAAAAGGGGGACGTCTCAATCTACAAAAACCAAGCATGCCAACAGTTTGATTTGCTATTTCAGGCAAGGCTGGGTGGAATGTAATCTTTGGCACCGCAACATTT